TGCATCGTATGTGGAAAGGCGAGTGTATTAAACTCGTAACTATTAAACAATTGTGACTTATTCAATGTTGATCAATTTATTTGTATTGTTAGGTCCACAAGAAATGGAGCGATACCCACTTACACCAGCAACGCAACAACGTCGACTCATTATCAGAATATGAGCGTTATGTTAAATGATGCGCATTGTCCATATTATCAATTATATGGTCCACCTCCAAGCTACGAAACCGTGATGGCTCAAACACGTGGTAAAGTATCTAATCCGGCTTCGCCAGAATCAACGAATGCCCGATCATCAAGCATTGCGTCAAACGCAACGAATTCAAATATATCTCAATGTTTCTCATATACGTGCAACCTCTCTACAGGATTGAATAACACATTGAATCAAAATACGCAATACTCGAATGGTGATACGAGTTCTCGGCAACTTGAACGCCGAGAAGGTATCCCGTTTGTGCATTTTCCTCAATATTGCTCGGTCACAGACGGAACAATTAGGCAAAACGTATGTCTTCCTTTCGTCTATCGAGAACAACAATTCGTTCCTAGAGATACCTTTAGCCATATATATCAAACTAGTTCCATGAATTGTGTTCCATATCCGTTAAACAAATCAAATACCTCGAATGCAGAGAATCAAAGTTATCGAGTGACGAATACCGAAAGGTATACAATGGTAGAATGTACAGCAGGTAGTAGTAGAGAACAAGAAGTTTGGGAGTCGGATGATCGTTCAATTTCCAATGTGCACGATAATCAAATAAAAAGGAATGCGAATGAAAGAATGAAAGAAAAAAATCTAGAAGAAGAAGAAGAACATGAATCGGCAATAGGGACAAGTTTTTCTTCTCTCTTTAAAATCGAAGGAAGTAGCTCGAATGATTCGAAGTCAATCGAGAATTGGTTGGAAAGTTTTGATTCAGAGTTAACAAATGATCGTCGTATTTATGGTGGTTCTTTAAAAATAACCGGCAGATATGCTGATAAAGAAAGATTAGACAAATATTCCGTTCAAAGGGCTTTCTCGAAAATTCTGCCCCATTCTTGCGATGGACTTATTAATACAGAGCCAGCGTCTATCGATATATCTCATAACGTAAGTTCTTTAGAAGGAAGAGTTAATGTTAGTGCGAGTTCTTTTCAATCAAATCCATCCAATAATGTGATATTAAAATGTTTTGTTTCCGACAACGCGTCTTTGTCCGTGGAGAATATCCAAAAGTTTGAACAGTCTCTTTCTCGTCCCGTAAACACTAGTACAAATTCTGATCTTGAAAGTAAATATCGATTAGACAGATCTAAATCACTGGACTGATCACTCATGGAATACTCGTGAAATACTTACATTTGCTATCGTATTATGCATATAGTGCTTATTCTTATACTCGTTATTAATTCATACGTATTCGATCACGTTATTACCTTGAAATCGATCGTGTTAACGCGCTAATATATATTATGAATCGCGGTAAAACATTTAATTCATAAAGTTTCTCCTATAATCAATCCAACGAAATGAACGCACTATTGTTTTCTGTTTTCAAAATTGACTTTTGAATCTTTCTCTCTCTCTCTCTC